AAATCTTTAGTCTTTAAGGACTACAGTCAAAACTTCAATTGTTTTAAAAAAAATTTTTTTAGTATTAAGTCTTAGTTGTAATTTATCAACCTCTTCCTACTTTGGAAGCTTTACTAAATAACTAAATATGTGTCTAAAGTCCCTTTATTTGAATTTCTATTAATACGGCACACATCAAATCCTATACCGAACCATGCAATTTAATTAAAAATCCACATGGTCTGGTCTGGGATTCGAAGCCTGGCAGTCTCGGACCATAAACTTGCCTATAAATGAATATAAGCGCGTTAGACTGCTACACCACCGACCCGATCAAAACAATACAAACAATCATTTTCAGATCTTAAAAACCCAATTTCTAATATAAAAAAATAATTTCCTTATTCCAACACTTTGAAGATTGTCGGAGTCCATACATGGACTTATTTAATTTTAAGACTTTATTGCGTACAGATTTTATTCCTTGTGGGAAATATACATTATCAGTTAGTGTACCGTTTAAAAATGCTGACTTTACGTCCAGTTGTTGGAAATAAATATTTTCTTGGTTTCCAACCATTAATAGTGCCCTATTTGTAATAAGTTTTGCGACAGGTGCATATATTTCATTGAAAGTATTATTATATTCTTGTGTAAACCCCGAACTACTAATCTCGCTTTGAATTTATTTTCTTCCTTCTCTTCAAGACCTTTAAAGCTGAATACCCTCTTAATGTTTAAAATTTTATTATGTTTTGGTTCATCAACCACTTCCCACGTTTTATTATTATTTATAGAATCTAATTCCCTATCTACTGCTTTTAGCCATTTTCCCTATCTAGTATGTTCTTTAATTCATTAAAATTACTTGGTACATCATACTAACAGCGTCAAATGCCATGTACAGTTCAAAATCGTTAACTTTTTGTGGAACTTTAATATTTCGTTTATTTCCCTTATTTTCTAATACGAATCCATCATTTTCACTTTCAATCTCGTGTATTATCTTCCTGTTCTTCTATAACTTCACTCTTATTTTCAAAACTTTTACTTTCAATATCTGTATTATATTCGTGTTTCTTCATAACTTCACTTTTATTTTTGGCTACTGAGTATTTTTATTGGATTTTCTAAGATTAACAAATCAGTAAAAAATCTTTTTTCGCGCCATGTGGACTGTACGACCAGAATCGACAAAAAATTTGATTTTATTTATTTTATAATTTATTCTACTTTTTTATTACTCACCTATGAAACACTATTTTCACTTTCGCTTACTTGTGTCTCCTGGCCTTCATCCTGTTGAACATAGTTGCTTCGATATTTATTTTAGTATCTACATCTACCTCGTCCTCTGAACCTTCTTTTTTATTGCTTTGCGTTTTTCAATTTCTTGCGCAGCATATAAATTAGTTTGTCCCACCAGTATTGCAAAAAATTCATGGGAAAAAAATAAGTCCACCAACGTTTGTACTGTAAAATTTGTCGTATCCAATTTCACACCAACATTTTCTTGGAAAATAAATATTTTTGAAGAGGTTGAGTGGTGTGTACACACTGGGTAATAAGAAATTAATCGAAAGTATTTAAAGTGTGTAGGTAGAGTTTTATTAATAATAAAACTCAGTAATATTAGTCTTAGCGCTTTCAGCCTGTTAGGCCATCATCAGAGACACTACAAAGAGAGAAAAAACGGAGCTATAACAATATAATCAAATCGTGATATTCCTGAACATTGAATAAAAAATAAAATAAGAAATCTTGAAAACTTACTCGTCAATAAATGTAGAAGAAGCATGAAAATTAATATATCACTAGATTAAAAAAGGGTTGCCACAATACGGTTCCTGTTCTCCACCATAACTTGAGGCTGGTTGCAATTTAAGAAAAAAACGTGGGGCTCATCCCAACACGTAGAAATAAACAATCTCACCCGTTCAAAGGTAGAAAAATATAAAAAACTGTACTTCGGCATGAAAAACTGTCAGGGTCAGCTGGCTTCATTTGGTAAAAACTGAAAGATTTAAATTTTTATTATTAATTGTCATTATAACAATATCTGAAATTAAACATAGACGTTTTTAATATTTTTGCAATAGAAATTTGTTTTTTTTTCACTAAAATTTATTGTTCTTTTATTTTTTAAAATTTTATTATTGAAATATTAAACTAATACTTTTTTACCTTTTTTTACTGTGGGTACTATGGTAAAATTGGTAAATAATAAATATTACAAACTAAGAATATATGTTTATTACATTTAAAAAAATCCAGAAATATACATAATAGAAAAGTAAACAGCAAGTTTTTTATGTGTCCATTATACACACTTATGTATTTGAGGGTGGATGGCCGGAATCTCTCGGCGTTCTGTAAAATGGCTTCAATGTTAGCAGGTTGTGAGGCAGCCATAATTCTTAAAATGTTGTCAACATTCTCATTGGTAAGCCTGGATCTGCACTTGTTTTTTATGAACTTTAACTTGCTGAACGTAGATTCACACACATATGTTGATGCAAAAATACATAAAAGTTTTTGTGCACATTCAACTAAGTTAGGAAATTTTTCCCTTTCCAACACTTTCCAAAACTCAAAATAACTTTTATCCTTCTTTTTATCCTCAAACATGGTTTTCAGTTCTGTATCTTGCTGAAGATCAATTAGCTCGTTTTTCAAGTCTCTAACTTCGTATCCAAAAATAGCGAGTTTTGCAACATTAGCAGTTGTTAATGCCCATGGATTCTCTATTAAACGAAATGGTTCTTGATACATCCTGAAGTCACTACACCTCTCAGCCATTTCGTTTTTCAGATCAGTAAGCAGTTTTATTAAAGCAGAAACATCTTTCCTTTCATCAGGGTTTTCTTCAAAAAGAGATTGAACAGAAGAAAAACTAGAAAAATCATTGTTTGATAGTTCTTCAATGTACATACTTTCTTGAGAAAACACAATAATCATCATTTTCGTAACAATTTTGTTCTGATCTTCTTGCAATCGGGTTAGTGTTTCATTGACAATGGCCATTGTATTAGTAAGGAACGCTACTTTTAACCACCAACCAAAGTCATAAACTTCAGGGTACTCTTTTTTTCTTAGTAGCCAAAAATAAAGTGATTTCATGACGAATTTTGAAGAATCGTTCCAAAACTTTACCTTTGCTTAACCACCTTACTTCTGTATGGTAAAGTACATCTCCGTAGTGAGATATGAGTTCATTTAAAAACTCCTGAAACATTCTGTGGTTCAATTCATTTGACCTTATAAAGTTCACAATATTTACAACTACTTTCATAACACATTTAAAGTTTTCATCAAACTTTATTGCTAAACTTTCTTGGTGAATGATGCAGTGAACACTGATAATATTTTCATTTTCCAAGTGGTTCTTTAACAATTTAACGAACCCGATATTTCGCCCTGTCATTGATGGGCAACCATCTGTGCACACTGAAAGAAGCTTTTTCAAGTCAATGCTATATTTATTAAAAAATTTAACTACTGCGTCAAAATAATCAACATCTCGAGTTTGACCACTCATAGCAACTGTGCCCAAAAGATCTTTAACATCCCCATCTTTAGTTACATATTTAACGAACAAGAGCAATTGGGATATTGATGTTATATCAGTCGATGAGTCAAGTGCAAGGCTAAAACACTTGCTTTGTTGCAGTTCATCAATAAGATTAAGTAAAATGTTTGCAGCTAAATCTTGTGATCGTCTCATACACGTTGAATCAGACAGCTGGAGTTTTGAAACCTCGTCGAGAATTTGCTTACCGTTAGGTAAATGCGAAAACAATGTTTTACAAACTGTAACAACACATTCTTTTACCATTTCCGCATCTGAAAATGGCTTCATCTTACGAGCTAAAATTTCAGTTACAAGGTATGATGCTTTGGTAGTAAGCTCATTCTTGTTCATAGCATTAAAAAGTGTATTTCGTTCACAAACCAAAGCTTTTTTCAAGGATTGTAATTTTTCCTCTCGGAGTTTAGACTTTTTTGGAAACTTTTCTTCAAATTGCGAATGAACTGTAGTGTGGTGTCTTTGCAAGTTGTAACGTTTATTTCCCGATACAAGATCACGACATAATAAACATAAAGCTGTTCCTTCTTTCTTACCTTTCGTAAAAAAGAATTCTTTCTCCCACTCATTTTGAAAGTCACGGTTTTCTTCCTCAAGTTTCCTTCTTTTTCCTTTTGAAACCAACCCCGCCATATTTAGTAATAATGTTCAACAGTAACTGAAGCGATGAACATTTTCCAGAAAGCAACGGCACTAATCTACAACACTCGAAATAAGGTTATATTTACTGAGCAACTTGTACGCGCCAAATACAATGAACGACTAAGCTGTAAGCAGACGGTGCACGACTTGTCGATGCATGAACTGAATTAGCTGTTTACAGTAGGACGTCGCGCCACGTTACAAAAAAATTTGTCTGAGCCCATCAACCCAAGAGCCGCTCAAAATATTGCCGAGGGCCGCATGCGGCCCGCGGGCCGCGTAGTGAGTATCCCTGATTTAGATCGATCATCCTTACCAGGTAAGTCGATCAATCTATTAATTTTTTAATTGCAAACAAATCAATGTCTTTTCCTTTCAACATGTTAACAACTGGTTCTGGCATAGCCGAATAATTTGATATAATGTTTAATGAAATAACGAAACAAAGAAGTTGTTATAAATAGCTGAAAAGCTCGTGCTTTGGTATTACCGGTTGATGCTTTTTGTAAATCATCTAAAGCGTCAATAATGTTTAAAAATATTTCGTTGAAATGCCGTATACTTTTATACTTTCTGTATTTTTCTATTGATTTGCGTCCTAATGGTTATTTATATTAATTATATTGTCTCTTTAATAGTGCCTACTGTATTTTGTATTTCCGCTAAGATGTTTAAATCATTTATAACAAGATTTAATTTATGGGAGGAGCAGTGAAAAACCTGAGATTCGGGGTACTGTTGCTGAATAATTTTATGAAAACCTCCGATTTGTCCAGCCATTGTTGAACAACCGTCATAACCTTGACCTACAATATTTTCCAAATTTATTCCCCATTTTTGTAATTTGTGTAATTGACTTGGCGTCCATTGCAACGATAGGCACATATCCCAAAAATTCTTCTTTTGTGTAATATTTATTTGCATCGTCACATTCCACAAAACGAACGCCAATAGACAACTGTTCTACACCACTGATGTCTGTTGTTTCGTCGGCTAGTACACTGAAATATTTAGCTTTGTTGACGCGCCATACAATTTTTTCACTTAAAATTTCAAAACTAAAGTTTATAAATTCATTTTGAATTCTGTGTGAAGTATATGTTGCATTTTTAGCAGCTGTCATAAGATGAGATCTTAAAACTTCGTCGCCTGCTTCAGCTCGAAAGTGCAGAAGATTTTTAAATATCGTGGACAGCCAGAAACAAAACTGTTTTAACAATAGAATGTTCCTGTTCGAGTCATTTTTTTTTATAAATCCGTATCTAACATGTGTTACGATTCTGTCATTATTTTTTTTACCGTTTATGAATGCCATCAATTTTTTAGCAGCAATAATATGCCACGAACTTTTCATGTGCTTTTTCGTTTGTTCGTGAAAATTCTTGTACTTAACGAAATGTTTTTCATTGAAATAACCTTGAAATCCCCTTTTTACTGAAGGTTTAAATAAAACACAATTACGGCAAAAAATTCCCTTTGCAGAATATGTTAAGACTGGGAACTCTTTTAGCAATTCGAGCTGAAATGCTCGTTTTCCATCACCTACATTTAATTTAAAATTATAGGCCGGTAACCAAGGATATGTCAATAGTTTTAAACGAATATCATCACTAACATTACTACAGTTAACGAAATTTCCGATATCAAACTGGGAATGTGCAACAATGCTAGTTCCGTGGTGCCGGGGAAAAAGGAGATAAGTCGATTATTAAGAATGTCCAGGAAAATCACTTAAAGTTTGGTTACAAACTACAAATTAGGTTTAATATTTATGATACTCAAATATTCAGAGTAAAATACAAATACATTCTCTATTTTGTATTTGAGTGACATGTTTTAAATAGTTTTCAATTTTTAAAAATATTTAGAAAAAAAAGCACATCCCTTTTTGAACTTACCAAAAAAAATACTTATCTCATTATTCACACTTCATTTACAAATGAAAATCAAACTTTACTAAACAAAAACTTTATTATTCTTATCTGGCATTGGCGTATCAAGGTTTTTGGTTTTGACGGGGCTGTGCTAGAAAATGCCTATTGAAGCAAAACTTTTTTTAAATGAACATACCTAGGTAAAAAAATAACACAAAAAATACCTTTAACAAGATAAAATCAATAAAATGCAGAACTATTTTAATTATTATCATCGTTATCAGAAGATACTAGGTCTGGGTGTGTCTCGTTCTCATTATTGGTTGGCAGCGTTTGGTAAAAATCCCAAAATACATTAGAAATAAAGGGTAATAGCTGCAGAAGGTTAGCCTTTTTCTTCTCGGAAATTGGAACTGGGCCAGCATACTGAAGTTTAGCCTTTTTCTTCTCGGAAATTGGAACTGGGCCAGCATACTGAAGTTGAAGATCAAATTTGGGTAGAGGTCCTCTCTTTCTAAATGAAACACTTTTTAAATTTTCATGTATGCTTGTCTTGAAAAACATCGTACCCAGGTTATTTTTATCTACTCTTAGTTCCCGAACATTGCGCCAATAAAACGGATTACCCGCTTCATCTTTTTTCTTAATTTGTAATTCCTTTTTTAATAGTCTGGCGAAGTCAAAAAATTTCGACTGGTCCATTTCGATGACTTTGAAAGGGTGTTTTTTTCCAGTACATCGAACCAGTTGATACCAGTCCCGAGGACGGTGAATAGGTGCTTCTGTACGCTTCTTTGTTTTTTCAATTAGTGCGTGGTCTCCGTCACACTCCATATGGGTGTGCCCTGGTACCAAAAACTTGTGCCTTATAACTTTGAGTGTTGGATGGGATTTCAGTATACAATATGGGCATTCTTATTTTGTCCCGTACAAGAGTCTAAATACAGCGTAATCTCCTCAACGTGATTCGGAAGGCTATTAAGAAACTGGTATAAGCATGATGCGATTTGATTTGCTCCTCTTCCTGCTACAGCTTCATGCCACATAAAGCAGTGGGCCTGATCCACATCGCAGTCATGGACTATTAAATTAAATGTCCATAACTGTCTCAAATAAAATGTTATGCCAGATGAAAGATGAGGAGTCTGAAGATATTGCTGAAGATCAAACGTGAGGGTTTTCTTTGATCTGTCGTTTTTTGATAATATCTTGTCTTCTAATTTCGACTTATAACAATCATCAGCCTCTTTTAAGTGTAAATTTAACTCTTCTTGAAGTTTTGCTTTTTCTTCCAGACTAATGGATAAGTTTATTTTCATTTTCAGTTTATCGCATTTTCCGCAAGTATCTTTGCTTGGTCTCTTAATCCCAATATTCATAGTATGAAATATTTCTTCAAACTTGGTACGACTAATAGCAATATGATCAGGTTCGATCAGATATTGATTATACAGTTTTGCAATTGTATAATATGGGGGTAAATATTTTTTGTTGCTGTCTCGCCTACTGTAATGACTTTGATATAGAGGAACTTTTAAAATGATAACTTTTTTAATGTCATCATCAATGTATTTGTTTTTTGGCGGATTTTTTCCTCGAATATCACTTTGGTAAATACCAGAACAGTTGGAGCTTACTTTGAGACTACACAGTTCTAGAAATTTGTTTGTTTCACTTAAGGTTCTACGAAAACATTCTTTGCAAATTTTGTGTTCTATTCCGTTAATTCTGAGGTTATACGTATAAGTAAACTATCTATTTTTACTTTTGCAGTTTATTTTCTTCTCTTTACAAGAAGCCTTCTTTTGTTTTTTTATTACGCTCGTGATGAACTGCACACGTTTTTCATAGGAGCCACTTCCCTAATACTCCTTAAAAATAATTTCTCTTTCTTCATCCCTAAACTTCTCTCTACATTTCATTCGACAGCTGTCTAATGGTTGACATATTCTTGCCTTCTTCAATTTTCCAGACTCTGTGATGTATTCTTCGCCATGGTTTCGTTTCAGCTTCCTTTCTAGTTTTTTCGATCTGGTCTTTCCTTTAACGGATTTTCTTTGTTTCCTGATTTTATAAGTTCCAGGGTTTTCTTCTTGCACTGGTAAAGGTACCTTCTCTCTTCTTTTTGTTAACGCCGATTGCTTCAGCAAAGATAAGGGAGCATCGCTGTTGTTAGAATCTGTATCAGAAGGCAGATATTCATAGTCAGTATTCAGGCTGTCAAAAACTCTAAATTCTTCTGGTATTGAAGGAACGGGACTACTTGAAAAAGAATCTGAAAAAAAAAGAACACGCGAATGTTTTCTCTGTTTATGAACTTGGTACTCTGTGGTACTCCATATATACCTTATACCTTCTGAATAATGAATATAAATATACGAAAAAATAAAATCCTAACGAGTATAAATGGCTCGTTACAGGCTGATGTTTTTTGACGCGATTTACACTGATTGATAAATATTAACTTTTAAACAGTGTCTCTCCATTGGTTTTGAATCTAGTTAACGTGGAGTTAAGCCTGTTTTGCAGTCAAATTCGCTCGCTTTTTCACTTTTGGTGGTATTGTTGAAAAAAAAAAAATTGAATTTTACACGCCGTTTAATAACCGTATAATGGGTAGGGTGGGCCGAAAGTTCGACTTTTTAAATTTCCTTTTGGAATAGTGCCCAAAAGTTGCCTTATGTTATTCCCACCAAAATGTTTATTTACAGTTTTTTGATTTTCATGCATCTTCTGTCCCCTACCGCAACTCAAAATTTAAAAAAAAATTGAAAATCGAAATTTGGATTTTCGATTTGGAATAGTAGTCAAAAGTTACCTTATGTTATCCTCACCAAAATGTTTAATAACAGTTTTTTAATTGTCATGTGTCTTCTGCCCCCTACCGAAAATTCAAACGTTAAGGACAGCAGTTATTTTTCAGTCAAATCATATTAAAAATTATTTTATTATTTTAAATTTTTCACATTTTACATTGACTGAAACAGTTAATAAAAAACAATCAAATAAATAAGCTTATTGTGTAAAGTCCTTTTTGCTTTCAAATTGTGGCATTAATTTACGAGACTCTAATCTTGCTTTTATAATTCCATTTCGCTTTTTACTACCTACAACTAATAACGATGCTTCCGTCACTAATTTTACACATTTCTCCACAGTTTGCGTGTTTCAGGGGTAAGATGTAATCTCAATGACTTTATTTGGGGTTTCTTTTATTATATTTTCTAGTTCGCCTAATTCTAAATGTTGAAGTGTGGAGGAGGAGTAATATCATTATTTTGCCAGTCTATTAAAGTGTTATAGTCTTCTGCATCAAACTTTAATTCTGGTATTTTAAAAACACGAATTTTTTCTGAACTTTCCCTTTCCTTGGCATTTAAAATACGACGCATAGCAAGTTCTCTAATATGGGGACGAGAGTCACTTAACATACATAATAGTAGGTTTCCGGGTGTGCAAAAAATGCATTTCGTTGGATAACTGGGTCAATGATTGCTTTCAGATTGTCTCTTAAATATCGACTTTGCTTAATGGTTTGCCATACATGTTTTGCCCCATTTGTACAAGTGTTGTTTCGTTTAATTAAAAACCACATTGGAGCATAGACTTTAGGAACGAAATTTGTCAGTTCTTTTAAATTGGAACTGGGTCCTTTGGTGAAAATATACAAACGCAATAAGCAGTTTGCCAAAGTAAACCATCGGGAATGGCTCAATTTTTCTGGATTCTGGTTTGCTAAATCTACAGAACATTGACCAGACGATATGGCACGGCAAATTTTGTAAAGGTATTTCTGATCGGTACTGAAGTCGCTACACTGTACTTCCGGTAATTTACAGCCAATAACTTCATATTGCACAACTGGAAAATTTTTATATCGGACTACAAGGTGGCCCAGTACACCTACAAACGCACTAGGACTGGTTGTTTGGCCATCAAGGTATAGAAAAAGATGTCTCAAAGGTAGCTCGTTGGCATGCAGCTGGTAGATAAATCGTTGTAAAGGGCGTCCTAACTTATATTCAAGTAGAGTAATCACTCCATTCTTTAGTCCTGTGTTGACTACTGTGCCGTCAGATCCCACTGCTAATAAGCTTAACAAATCATGGTTATTTTCTTGTAAAAAGTCAACTATACTATGACAAAGATTTTTTGCAGATCCTGAGGAGGGTATTGTATGTCCCAGAAACACCGAACCTGGTTCTTGCACTAAAGATATATGTTCTTCAGTTATTGTTCTTCTGCGAGATTTGCCGTCTATTTCTTTAAGAGATTATGTTTTATCTTTTCTACCGTTAAAATACATTGCAGTAATAGGTTCACAGTCTACCAAATTAATAATTTTAGTTCCTAAATGTTCCCTGGCTCTTCTTAACTTATTTTTATCTGTTATTTGCACTGACCTTTCTTTTGTTACGATACCAACATCCGTATCTGTCACACACTTTGGCGAGAGTAGGAAGCTTAATTGTATTTCTGA